GTGTTTAGGAGGTGAGGTTCTGCAGCAAAGCTTCCTGATTCTAGTCATAGCAGGTTATTTAACCCTTTTGTGCCTAAGTATCTTTACACTTAGAAGGGGTACAATTCATACCCTATAGGCGGGTTGCTTGAAGCACTTGCTGATGACCATATAGTATTACAGCCTTCAATATGGATTACAACTCAATGTAAGCAAACCAATTGGATCAATAGGTAGCAATATGATAAATGGAGAAAAGGCTAATGTTACCCAAGATTTCATCTTGCTCAGACAGATTCACAATCAATACTCATGGACGCAGCCATCAAGAGATCAAATGATGCATTGCATTAGGTCAATCTGCTGCACAAGACCTCTTTAAAAGGTTAGAAAGCAAGGATGTTACTTTGAGGACTAAGGTGCACTTGAACCAAGCCATGATCTTTAAATGGCTGCATATCCATGTGAAAGTTGGTCATTGAATAAGGAAGACCACAGAAGAGTGGACGCATCTGAACTCGGGTGGGGGTGAAGACGATTGAAAACGCCATGGACTGGCAAAGAACAAACACGTGTGCTAGAAGAAGTACAGCCAGAGTGCTCCTTAGAGGTAAGGATGGCAGGAATTCTTCTTTCATACGGAGCAGGACATCATGCTTGGTAAAGCAGCGAAAGAGAGGCCAGCTCTCAAGGAGATGGATTGACACAGTGGCTGCAACCGTGGGCTCAGACATAAGAACAGCTGTGAGGATGACACTGGACTTGGCAATGTCTTCTTCTGTGTACATAGGGTTCCCATCTGTCAGAACTGACTGGACAACACCCAATAGCAACATCAGAGTTGCTGATGGAAGGATTAAATGAGTTACTACTTGTGGGACACTTAGATCAGTATCCAGAACGTCGCTTCTGTGCTGTCATGTTCATTTTTATTACCAACGAACCCAAGTTTCACCTTTACTACGTGAGTTGGGGAATATCCCCTTAACTTATTTGTGCCACAGGTGCCTTACTGACAAGACAGGCCCCGACTGTGAAGAACGGCTAAGACCTCTGTGTGATCTACCCTTGTTTCATCTCACAGCCCGCTCGCCCTCTTCTCTTCCCACAGGAAGTCACACAAGCCTTTCAGTTCACAGAATGCACTGCACACCAGCCCACCCCAGGGCCTTTGCACATGCCTGCTCCTCTGCTTTTAAGACCATTCCCTTGTCTCTTTCCCTGGCTTTTGTATTGCTTCTAGAAGCTTCTCTGGACCCTACTAGTCGATATTGGCTCTGTCTGTTGTAAATTCTCCTAGCATCTTATACGTCTCCCTCCTAGCACTTACCGTAAAGGACATCATTAGTTTATTTTGTACCTAGTAGTTGGGTGTCCACCTTCCCAACTAGACCATGATCCTCACAAGGACAGTGGTCTTTCCTGGCTTTTGCATCACCATCGATCCCTTATACCTGGTGCAGTGCCTGGCAGAGAGCCCGTACATTGCCATTGTCAATTTAGACTCATGGAACCCCGCGTGTCACAGAACCCCATGCCCTAAGGTCCCCTTGGCTATAAACTTTATGGAAGCAGATTAGTAGACTTTCTTCTGTGAAGCCAGAGTAAATACTGAATAAATACATCGTGCAAGAACATCGAGGGGTCGCTATGAATCAGAATGGACTCGGTGGCGGTGAGTTTGGTTTAGGAGCCCTGATGCCACAGTGGGTTACCCATTGAGCTGCTAACCCAAAGGTCATCAATTCAAAACCGCCAGCTGCTCTTTGGAAGAAAGGCGAAGCTTTCTACTCCCAGAAACACACGGGGCAGTTCTACTCTGTCCTATAGGGTTGCCATGAGTTGCAATGGACTTGATGGCAGGGAGCTTGTTTGTTTGTTTGTTTTTAATGCTCACAGTAGCTTTCCTCATAATGGTCAGAAACAGGAGCTAACCAAAATGCTGATAGGGTGAACACTCTGTGGAAATCCACTTCCCCATTAAACCGTTATCATCAGTCTGATTCCAATGCATGGCCACCCCATGGATGGAGCAGAACTGCCCCACGCGGGGTGGGTGGCTCGTGGGTTTGAACTGGTGACCTCTGGGTTAGCAGCTAAGTGCTTTAGTGTTTGTTTGTTTTTGGCTATTGAGAAGATTGAAGGCATCTAAGGTTGGGTTTCATTATTGGAAAATTCTTCTTCACCCTTCATAGACTCTCTCCGGGAACAAGCTGGAAGGACGTCAAACACCTTCTCGCTGAGATGGCGGCAGACTCTTTAGAGCGGGAGGTAAGCCACAGTCGTCGCTGGTCTCTGTCCACACTTTTGCCTTCCACGTACGCGTTCAGCCTCATTCTGGGGGGTGGGTGATGCCCTGTAAGTTGTCGGTCCTACGTGAAACCACTCAACACCACTTGAAGCCGATGTTACCTCTTCTTCCACTCGGGCCCCACCAGTCATCTCTCTAGGCTCAGGAAGTAGTTAATTTAAGGTAGCAATTAAATAGAATAAAATTGTACTTTAAATACCATAGGCCATTTAACAAAATAGCTTTCATCTGCCAAACAGAATTAATTCCCCAAAGCTAGGAAACCGCTCCAAATGCCTACATGTGTGCTTAGGTGCACTGTTTCCCTTCTGAAAACAAAGGGGAAGATTTAAAATGTTTAGTATGAAAATTTTCCAGCACACTTAATAGTAGGGAGAAGTGTCTAATGAACCCCTGTGCATTCAACACCAGGCCTCAACGACTAAAAAGAGGTTGCAAGCTGGGGTCATCTACATCCCCCAATTTCTTTTTTCAACCTGGCTGGGATTTGCCAAAGTCAATTTCAGATATCATACCATCTATTGCAGGCATAAAATATGGCTTTCTCTGCAATGCTACAAGGCCATTATCACACCCAGAAGAGCAACAATAATACTCTAATAGCTTCCAGTACCCAGTCCACCCTCAAGCTTCTGAAATGGAAAGTTATGACAGACACACCACCAGAATTATCGAAAGGCAACCCAGCACTCTCTGATATATTTCCTTGTGGAAGGGCCATCTTTCCCGTTCTTTGGTCCCTTTCAGTCTCCTGGGGGCTCTTAGTGTATCCCATCCACAGGCATGTCTCCTCCCTGCTCATGGCAACCAACTGTCTGCAGAGGGATTGGAGAAGAAGTCTGTGTGTATTTAGAGATATCCTGATGAGGATCCTCATGGATTTTGCAAGAATGCTGAGGCCTCCACGAGGAGGGAGACAGTATGCCTGCCTTGCCAGTCCGATGTGTAGGATCCGTAGACAACCGTTTCATTGCAAATGCTATTGCCAGAGCCCCTCAGCATGCCAATTTATGCCCATCAGTTAGGGACTTCCTGTCAGCCTGGTTATCTAATTCATCCATCTGTTGCTGTTTGCCCAGCCATCATACAGACCTATCCAACGAGGTAGCCAGCTAGCAATGGCTGTTGTTGTTAGGTTCTGTGCAGTCAGTTCTGCCTCCTCGCAACGCTGTTGTGCAACAGGATGGAACACTGAAGAGTCCTACGCCATCTTTACAATCGTTCTCTTGTCGGATCCCATTGTTGTCGACACTGTTTCCAACCATCTTGTCAAGGGTCTTCCTCTTCTTCATGCCCTTCTACTTTACCAAGGAAGATGTCCTTTTTCCCAGGGACTAGTCTCCTGATGACATGTTCAAAATACGGGAGAGGACTCTCACCGTCCTTGCTTCCAAAGAGTATTCTGGCCATACTTTATCTAGAACAGATTGGTTTGTTCTTTTGGCAGCCCATGGTACTTCAGTATTTTTTTATCGTATCATAATTCAAACACATCGATTCTTTTGTGGTCTTCCTTATTCAATATCCAACTTTCCCATGCATATAAGGCAATTGAAAATACTACGGGTTGGTTCAGATGCACCTTGTCCTCAAAGTAACATCCTTGCTTTTCAGTGCTTTGAAGAGGTCTTGTGGCTCAGATTTACCTGATGTGATGCATCAGTTGATCTCATGACTGCCGCTTTCCTGAGCGTTGACTGTACATCTGTGGATGCACAAGATGTTATCCTTGACAGTGTCAATCTTTTCTCCATTTATCATGATGTTACCTATTGGTCCACTTGTGAGGATTGGGGTTTTCTTTATATTAAGTTTTAATCCATGTTGAAGGAGGCATGATGTTCATCAGCAAATGCTTTACATTCTCCTCACTTTCAGCAAGCAAGGTTGTGTCATTTGCATATGACAAATTGTTAATAAGCTTTCCTCTAATCCTAATGCCACCTTCTTCTCCATATAGTTTACCTCCTTATTTTCTCAACATACAGATTAAATAAGCACCATGAGGGGATACACCTGGCACACACTTTTCTTGATTTTAAACCATGTGATATTCCCTTGTATTGTTCCCACAACTGTTTCTTTATCCATGTACAGGTTCTACATGAGCACAATTGAGTGCTCTGGAATTTCCATTCTTCTCAAGGATAGCCATAGTTTGTATGATCTACACAGTTGAAGGGCACTTGTCTGTACTGTGGTGTCCTGTGTTTTCCTGTGATGCTAGAAGCTATATCACTGGTACCAGCAGTCACTCAAAGTGAATACCCTGTTTCCCTGAAAGTAAGACATCCCCCGGCAATAAGACCTACTTACACTTTTGCTTCTCACTGAAATATAAGGCATCCGCCCAAAATAAGACCTCCCTGAAAATAAGCCCCACCCCCCAAGCTACCGTAACTCTGTACTTTGGACCATAGTGGCGGTCGCAGCCACACGCAGCCGGAGCAGGCAGGAAGTGTGAGGTCTCTTTTAATAAAACAATAAACAATAAATGTGTACCGTATTCTTCTTCATGGAAAAATAAGACATCCCCTGAAAATAAGACCTAGTGCGTCTTTGAGAGCAAAAATTAATATAAGACACTGTCTTATTTGGGGGGAAACAGGGTAGATCTCAGCTGACCAAGAGGAGACTACACAGATGGAATAGGCTGTCTAGTTCTGAGGAATTAGCCACTGGAAACCTTGGGAATAGCAGTGGACTCTTGTCAGATACAGAAAATCTCATGAACAGCAGCAGAGCATTATCAGAGATCGTGCCAGAAGGACAGCCCGAAGGCACTCAAA